CTCTTGAAAGTTTACCAATTGCATATCCAATATAATCGAGAAGAGCCATTTGCTAGGTAAGTCGAATTCAAACGCTATTTATTCGATGTCATTGATTATATGTACATTTACTTAATTTATATTTACCTATGTTAGCAAACCTATAGACCCTCGTCTGATGATTGTTCAATTCGCAGATGGTCTCAAATAAAAGAATTTTTCTTTGGTACATTTTTAAAGTTATGTTAATATTTCCTCAAAATGACGTAAATATTTTATTTTTAGTGCAATAGGCAGAATAAGCATATATGTATATGTATGTTCATATTTCGATAGCTCCCATCGTGATCTGTAAAAGAATAAAAGCTTACAACTGGCGTGGAATGAGGGTGTGCACAGGTTTTTTTTTGCGTAGTCTAGGCCTAACTGGTTTGATTGTATGTATGTTTATTAATGCTGAACTATACTAGCAGTAGAACTCTCATACTCGTAGGTACATGATAACCAACTGATTAATCATCATTTCAAACTGTGCACATTTCTTAGATATTGTAGGTATCAAATCATACATGCACCTCAAAAGTGACCATAATATGCATACATATTTACCAGCAATAATTCAATCAATATTTTGATGTACATAATTTGTTTCTCGAAATCACTAGGGCTGTTCAGGATCTTGTGCATATGCTCTTGCATTTGCATATTGGATGCATTTGCAAATTCACAACAATAAAATGCACACATTTTGCCATGTCAGCAAGCATGAAATTTGCAAATGCATCGCCAACTGCAAATTCAAGACCATTTCCACAACATTTTGAACAGCCCTAGTGAAATATTTTTAACCGTATATGTAATTACCCTAGACTTGGGATTTAGGTTTTTGTATTACGATGTAGAGAATACAACATTCTCATTTTTCTATGAAGAGCCCAAACAAATTTTTTTGCAAGAACTATTAGTCCCGATGCCCGCCTTAACTACACGTATTTATATAAATGTTTGCATTGGCAAAAAAAAAATGCATAGAAATAATTGGTAAACTCTTAATATTCTTTAATAAGAATTGTGAAAAATTTATCTCGCGTATTCCCTGCGAAATTTCCTAATTAACGGCGGCCTTCAACTAAAATTTGAAAATTACTACCAAAATGCGTTGCTTCGTAATAATAAATACATTGACTAAGCTTGTTAAACCTATGTTAAATTCAAGAATTAATTTTGATGTCAAGTTCATTAACTTTGGCCATTGACATACATAAAGGAGTCAGATACTGCAAGTCGAAGGATATAAAGCATGATTTACAACAAATCTCATTTCTCTATCAGGCCGATTCTGAACAGAAACTCCCTGGGAGTTTTCTCTTTTTTCCCTTTCCTCCTACCGTGAATAAAATTCCCTGGGGAATTTTTATATTAAATGGCGGAGTTGAGCTCTCAAAAAATTTTAAAACAGCTTCTTCGAAGTTCGAATTCCCCCCTTCCAAGTTTTCAGGGAAAATTCTACTCCCTGGTAGTTAATTATTGAAGGGTTTCTTTTTCGGGAGAAACTAATTCCCGGAGAACGAACTCCCCGGTAGTATTAAGAATTATGCTGAGCAAAATAAAAACAAAAAAAAATTGGTTAAACCAATGTAAACACGCTCTTTGATATCCAACAATTTGCTTAGGTTTATTTGTAAATCGTGCAGATTCAAAACAGATCAAAAGGGGCATGAAAACAGTACAATGGACGGCATGTAATCTGAGTGTTGTTTTCCAGACGCGTTGTTTTGTGCCTGGTTCCGACAAAAAAAAAATAAAAATCCTCGTGAATGTTTTATTATAATTGTGGGTCATTTTCAATAAAGTAATCTCAAAGTCAACTGTCGAACATTAGATAACACCCACTAACAAGCGGCTAGATTCGCCCATTACAAAAAATTGTGAGAAGATTTGCAAACATGTAATCCGGGCCCATTGCAATAATAAAGTAAAATTTACACATTTATAAAAAGTATCGAAATAAATAAACGTTATGGCATTTAATGTCAAAACTTTTAATAACAAACTTCGTTATATTGATTGATACTTTATATAAAGTTAAAAAAAAATGCTAAAATTTTCATCAAAATTTTAAACTTTGTATGTAGAATTTCTAGCACTTCATTAGAGTAAAATTGTATGGGCTATAAAAACCAACATACTCGAAAATTTTCTAGAAATTTTGAATAAAAAAATGACTAATGTTTTGAATTTTTTTGAACTTTATATAAAGTGGGAAACTTTGATCAATATGGTTTATATTAGTTTGGTTCCACAAGCTACTCAAAGTCACTTCGAGTTACACATACGCGTTCCACAAGTAAGTTGTAGAGTTTATTTGATATACACTGACAGTTTGAACTTTGCTCGAGTTTTTCTACAAGTAGCTTGTGGAACAAACCTATTATAGAATGAACCATGTTTTCATAATTTTACTTTCATGAATTACGCTATTGTTGTTTTGGAAATTTATTGTTTTGTCAATTTTTAATACCTGAGTGACCGAGCTTTGCTCGGAGGGCATATACTTTTTAAAGCAAACACCGCAACGGCTATGATATTTTTAATAAAAACCATAACCATTAACCATTAAAATTGGATTTCTATATTTCCGATCTGGTGGCCGTTGTGGTGTAGTGGTTAGCAGTAGGGCGCACTACCATTCCACAGGTCCTGGGTTCAAGCCCGGTTTATTTTATTTATTTATTTATTTGTTACAGTCTTGCGACTTAAAAGTACAGATAGGTATTTTTAATATATAACAAAGTATGCGTATATGTAAGTTTAAATTTTCAATTACAAAGCTGTTTATGTTTCTAAAACTATCAAATAACCTATATAAATGTATATTGTCTAACTAGTTTGGTAGCTGGCGAGGCCTAGTCTCCAGTCTACCTTTAAATATGTACTATGTGCAGCAGGCGGAAAGACCTTGTTTCCGCTCCGCGTTGCTCACGAGTTGGTAGTCACGGTCGGAAAGGCCGAGTCTCCGATCCATGTTCCCGTCGTCATTAATATGCAAACCCTGACGCTGGATTCCGTGATGTGAGGCGGGCGGAAAGGCCTAGTTTCCGCTCCGCGTTATGGTCGGGCTGTTGGGCATAGTCGGAAGCTTTCGTATGCTAGATCATTTGCTGCTTGGTCGGATGGAAAGGCCTGGTTTCCATTCCGTTCCGTGCTCTCCTACCTAATAGCCAGAGTTTTACAGTGATCAAATAGTTGTCTTTTAAAAGCAACAAAGTTATCACAGTCTTTAACATGTGGCGGTAACTCATTAAAACACTTTAAACCTTTATAAAATATATTTTTTTTGTCTACCTCTGTTCTATAAAGTGGGAGTCTAAAGCAATTGTTTTCCCTGAGTATATATGAATGAGTTTCATTTATATACCGAAGATTGTCGCTCAGATAGTCTGGAAGTTTACCGTTCTTTATGTTGTATACGAATTTCATAGCATGATAGAAAACCTGTTGCTTAACACTCAACCAATTCATATCTGTGATCATCTCCTGTGTAGGTGTATCGTAACGCTTATTTAATATGAACCTCATAGCTCTATTTTGCATTTTTTGCAATTTCTCGATATTTGCGTCGCTTGCTAAGAAGAAGATTGTTGGGCAGTATATAAAATGTGGTTCTACTATAGATCTATAGACCAGGGTTTTATACCTTCTTCTCAGATACTTACAAGATCTTTTCATAAGACCAATTTTTTTCGCAATTTTGTTCACTGTATGCTCAACATGCTCATCAAATTTAAGTTTATTATCTATATATATACCCAGGTACTTAATGAGTTTAACTTCCTCAATTTCTTACTCTTTGATTTTTAAATTGTAACTGGTGGTTCCAAGATTAACTGCTCTAGTGAGGATCATAAACTGTGTCTTTTTTACATTCAACTTAAGTTTATTTAAACACAACCATTTGTACAAAGAATCCAAGTCTTCTTGCATTTTAGTCATCGCAGTCTGTAAGTTTCTGTCACTGATCGTTAACAGTGTATCATCAGCGAACAGTTTTAACTTACAGTGCTTGAGTGCCATATTTATGTCGTTAATGTAAATATTAAAAAGTACTGGGGCCAATACCGATCCCTGCGGCAACCCAATATTGACTGCCACTTTATTTGACACACTTGACTCGATTACAGTTTGTTGCATACGATCTGAGAGAAAGCTTCGAAACCAGTTAAGCTCCGTGTTTTCAATACCAATGCATTCGAGCTTTTTCAACATTCTTGCCCTGTCAATGGTCTCGAAAGCTCTTAAAAAGCTATTATTTGTCAATTTTGCTTTTTTGATCTTTATTTTTATTTCGACTTATTGGTTGGCTTATTAGTTTAAATCGTTATTTTTCACACTATTAATCCAATAATGCAACTATTAACTTTACACTTTGCAATATTGTTATATTTTTTAACACCATAACCAGAGCGATAAAAAACACGTCCGTTCGCGATCGATATCTATTTATTATTTTAGAGTAAAAAGTTCGAAATTTAGTCTTGTATATAGCTTGAATCCTTGATTTTTATCGGTTAAAGTGCAATCCATACTATTGAATAAAAAAAAAGTATAAATAAATTTTAGTTGAAAAACTTTGTGGATAGTAAAAAAAATCACAAAATCTTTCCATAATAACTCCAAATGATATAGTTTCGCTGTTGCCTTTAGTTTCATCACTTTCACTTTTGGTTGAAGCGATAGAAAAAAAAACTAGTTTTTATTAAAATAACTAAAAAAAGTTATTGGTAGATATTTTCCAGAATTGGTAGATTTTTTTCAGTGGATGCTTAATATTTCTTTTCGCAGAGGCAACCCTGGCTGTGACACTTTTTTTGCCACTTTCGAAAAATTTGCAGCGGTAACACTGGCGCTACAACTTCGCAGTACCCATGCAAGAACGAAAGACGCAAGATCACGTAAGAACAAGAGTGAAAAAAGTCGATTTTTTTAGCGGGTTCTACGCCATCTTTTTTCACAGGAAAACGAGCGAAAAGTAAACAAAGCAAAGAAAACAACGAAAACCAAAATTAGCCAGAATTATTGTCAGCCACTTTAAACGCACAATTTAGGTAAAATGATGCAACAAAATGCTTTAAAATGTGTTGTCATGTTGCCATGTGCTTGTGATGTAAACAAACGCTCGGCTGACGAACCCGCTTTCGCAAACTTTTTTCTCAAAACCAGTTACAAATACAACGTCGAGTTCTTACGTGATCTTGTATTTTTGGTTCATGGCAGTACCTGGGTTCAAGGCGTGGTACAATAGTTGCGTTTGTTTACAAACTATAGAATTCGCTCTTAGAAAAAATTTACAAAAAAGTACGCGAACGCTATTCCAGTAATAATTTGCAAGTTTAATGAACAGCTGATAAATTGGTTGTTTATTCGCAGCATATTCCCAATAAAAAAATATATTTTATATTTAGATATGTTTATTTTGTGAACTTCCATAATAAAAACCCTCAAACAGTTTCCTTATTAGTTTAAATTTCATACAGCAACATGCGTTCAGCTGTTTTTCGTACTGGCAAACTTGCAACTTCAACTGTCTTTTTTTCGCTCTCTCAATTTCGCCTACTTTGCAACTTTTTGTGTACGAAAACGCCAAAACATGAAAATTCGTAAAAACTTTCTCTGGATTTTACTGGAAAACGAGTAAACAAACGCAACTTTTAATCAAAGCGAAGGTACACAACATGCGTTCGCCGGCAAATGCGCAATAGTAAATAAATTAAAAAATTGGTATGGCTAAGGACGTTCCGATACCATGAAAGTATCGATACCTACTCAAATGAGTTTACTCAAATCACTATTTCGTACTACTTATATTAGTGAACCGAATGTATCGATACCTACTTATCTCGATAACTTTTCATTCTTTTATATGCAACAAAGCGAAAGTAATTTTCAGGCGTTATCTGTGACATACCTTTTGCGACACCTGACTGGTAGATCGACCTATCTCGGCAGCCAGTTTGAAAACACCCTATCTGAGAAAACTTTTCAAAAGCACTCTATTCCAGAATTTGATTGAAAAACGCCTTATATCAGAAAACTTTTCAAGACCATACTCTTTCAGAATTCGGTACAAAAACGCCCTATCTCAGCTGCCGATTCAAAGCGCCCTATCTCAAATATTTTCAATATATTTTCAGTCGTGGTATCGATGTTTATTTGATCATTAGTAACATAGAAGTAATACGATTACTGAAACAAAAAATTAAACCTTTGAAAGGTTCCCACAAAACGTTAAGGCTACAAAGCATTGCTTGAACTTTTTAAAAATATATCCCCACTTTAGATTTTGGCGGTGCCATTGCTTAGATCAATTATTTTTCATAAAAGCGAAGCAATTATTTTGCATAGAAAAAATATGACCGAAAGATATGGCACTTCCTCAAATTGATTCAATACAATAATCATGATATTATAAAGAACACCGTAATCGAAATTTCACTCATTTTTAGCAGTTACGAATATTACGAAATTGTTTCCTCTATTATTGGCTTGGGTTACTCCGAACCTAGAAACTCAAACCTCGACAATCTTCATCGATTAAGTAAACGGCTTTTTTTAAATGTATGATCAATATTATTAGAAAACGGCATATTAAATTAAAAAGTATACATATAAATGTGTTTCAAAAACTAAGTAAGTACTCAAGAGCCTTCTCACGCTTCAATTTCTCCGCTACATATGCGTTCCGTTTAGCCATGTTCACCTTAACCCATGGATGTTTCATTACCTCTACGAGAGTTATGCGGCCATTATTCGATTTACGCAACAACTGAAATTGTGTTAAAATTTAATTAATCCCTTTCAAACAAACTTTATTAGGTACCTTAGAAATAAGATCTTTAGCTCCAGCACTCAAATGATTAGGATAATGAACTTCCAGTCGTCTAATTTTTTCGTAAGTTTTCTCATTATCATTCGATTCGAAGGGTGCACAACCCACCAAAAATTCATAACATAAAATACCTAAGCACCACTGGTCGACGGTGTGATCGTATATATGACCATCCACCATTTCTGGTGGCAAATAATCTAAAGTGCCGCACAGAGTCTTACGTCTGTTGCGAAAAGTCAAATTAGCTACATACATATAAAATGATTGCACAAAATAAGAGCAGAAACTTACTTGTTAGATAGTGTGTGTGCCGACCAACCAAAATCAGCTAATTTGACATCATCTGAAGATGTCAGCAATATATTTTCTGGCTTCAAATCACGGTGTATTACATTATTCAAATGACAATATTCAAGTGCATCAGCCACTTGGTATGTATACTTAGCGGCGCGTTGTTCCTCAAAACGTCGATGTGGGGAATTGCGTAAATGTTTGTACAATTCTCCTTCCGATGCAATTTCTAATGCAAGATAAATTCGACTTTCATCATGAAACCATGTGAGTAAACGCAAAATGTTTGGGTGCCTAAATTTATTATAAAGATGCCGTTGAATATCATTGGTCAACTTGATAAATGCATTTGCTTTACTCACTTCAGTCGAGTTTGTATTTCAATTTCCCTCAAAACTTGTCGCTGTACATTTCCCTTCTCAAGTTCAGCTTTAAACATTACCTTCATAGCTACTATATAATTAGAAGTGCGTTCGCGAGCTAGGTAGACGCGCCCGAATTTTCCACGTCCTAAGGGAGCGCCCATCTCAAAATCTCTGGTACTCCACTCGTAACTATAAAAAATTGTTATGATTTTGCTACAAAATATTGAAATCATTTTCACTTACGGGTGTCCATATGCGGGGTGCTGCATCATTTTAAGCGACATTGACTGAATGTGTTGTTGGTATTCTTCAGGCACTTCTTTTATCATCTTAGCTAAATCAGTTCTATTCGGGGGTTTCTTTTGTAGTTTTTGCATCTTGAAATACTTTTAAAACTATAAACTCTTGGGATTCTGGAATTAATTAAGAGCTTAATTAAATGTTTGCAAGCAAAATCGCGGACTATCGCGCTTTTTGCTTTTCCGTTTGTAAATTTCAAAATGAACGCAAATGTCAAAAGTGACATCCAGAGAACGTAAATTTAAGTTGTCAGTTTCTCCCAAAGTGCTGCCAAGTTTGTGTTTGAATTCAAGATCTGCAGAGCTGCAACGTCCAATAAATTTATATTTTATGCAAATTTTCGATATAAAATATTTAGTAAAAGATATTTGTCTAAATTATGGTCACATTGCGCCATAAACTCGAGTTTACGCTTTTGTGTTTATGAAGAACTGTCAAGCGTCCTCAATGTGGTGTTAAGAAACTCGGCGTTGTAGAGATCCTCAGCTGAAATGGGTCTGGCCAATTGAAGGAGTGCTGTCAAGCAGCGAAAAGCATTAAAAAAAAAAAAACTCGGAGTTTGATTTAACATTTATTTGTTCACATTTTCTTATTCACATTGCTAATGATATCATCCTTACAGTGGACTGAAATTGAAGCCTTTAATATAAATTAGTAAAACCAAAGGTAAATTTAAATAGATTTAGTTACTTGTTAAAAGAACTATATACGCAAGTGCACACTGCAAATATATCACACAAAATATACGTTATAAGTGGACTTTTCTATAAAAATTTGGTGGTAGAAGTGGAGATAATTTAACGAATTGCTTAAATACTATTAGTAACTACATTGTGATAGTGATCAATTCAGATAAAGGCCTCCCCAACTTCCTCACCAAGTTTCATGACGAAATTCCTTAGACTTTCGTAGAGATCTCGACTGGTTCAGTTTTGGAAAGCCAACCCGATTTATCATCCATTTAACACACTTTTCGTTGTTGGAACAACACTTCCAAGTTACCTTGTATTCGCTACACATTAAATGATTTTGGTCTCCTTTATTTCTTGTTGTTAGGTTTCTGTTATAATTTAATTACCGTTTTTAATAGTACGATGTTCTGATTTTATTACTATACTTGATGTTCTCATAACATAATTCTTTTAAGCTTCCAACTCCAAGGCAACACCAATCTTGTGACCACCAGCATTGAAGTTCTTGCCATCGATCAAGGCGGATAGACTGACTGTGATGCCGTCGCGTACCCGCTGTTGGTAGCCCAAACCAACTTGGCTGGCATTGTTCACCTTCGCGCGGACATTGATGTCATCGTCGATGAGGTACTTGCCTCCAAGTGCGAATGCGGTGTTGTTGCCACCAGATGTCCATGATAATTGGACGCCAACATCGAGTTTGGGAGTGCCCTTTTGGAAAATGGAGCCCGTAAATTGTTGGCCATCATTGCTGTAAACAAAGTAGAAACAATTGAAACAACTTAATTAAAAAGGCAAAGGTTGTAGAAACTTACACAGCTGTGTGGAGCACGAAGTCCTTGGCTGCATAGCCCAAGGCAAAGTTGTTGGTTTTCAAAGAGTTATTTTGGGTATCGAATGCAGTCTGGTAACCAGCCAACCAGCCTTCATAACCCAAAACAGCTGAAGCGTTAATCAGTGGACCATTCAGATCAACATTCACGTCCGAATCGACTTTAACATTTTCGTGACCGTAGGCAGCCTTGAACTTGCCAGTTTTGTTGCTTCAAAATATATAAGAAAGTTGTTTTCGTTAGTAAAGATGTCACGTTTTTACATGCAATGATTTTACTCACCCAGATTGAGGAGCGAATGTAGCTTCGAATGCAAGCTTCAACCCTTCCAGCAACTTGTCTTGGACCGACACTTCGGTGAACAAAGTGTTGTCTGTGTTCCATCTTTCGGTTAAACTCAAGCCATAGTCCTTAACTTTGTATTTTGTCTCCAAAGAACCGAAGACTTTTCCAGACTCCTGGTTGGAGTGACCGGCTGTGTTGAATTCAATGCCAGATGGAGTCTTGGTTTTACAATCCAACTTCCAGAGACCAAAGTGGTAGCCTTTGCTGAAGACGTCGCGGGCTTGTTTGCCAAGATCTGGGTATGATGGAGGAGCCATCTACAGATGAAAGCGAAGGCGAGTAGAAATAATGCAGGTATGTATAAAATTTATCTGCAGATCTAAAATATAGATACTTATACATACGATTTTTATTTAATTTTGTGTTATGAAAAAAAAAAATCAGTACTATAATTTTGATATTTCTGATGGAAAGACAGACAGAAAAGCACTCGTAAAAAGTAAATATTTCAGGAAGGTTTCGCAAAGGGTCCAGTTGGCAATTATTTTAACTAGGTGGCAAATACATATAAGCATTACAAAAAATATGTTTGCAGATTGAAAATGATGCACATGTACAATATGTATATGTATACCAAACTTACATACACATTAACATGACATAGCTCCTATCTGCAGGAACGTAAATAAATTATATATATAGCTTAATTTTTAACCCCCCTCCCCCCTCGGTGACCTGTATATATATAGTATATTTCCAGACTCCCCTCCCTCTACAACTTTCACGTAGTAATAAATTTCTTTCTAACAAAGCGTAAACAAAAATATTTGGCTTATATGTACTGTTACTCTCAAAATTGAGCGTACGCCTCTTTTTTGTTAATATTCGCAGTTTTACATGCTAAAATTTTTTTGTTAATTTTGTATTAAAATATGGCCTATATTTTAGGAAACCCCATTTAAATCCAAGAATGAAACAGTGTACGGAATTAAGAAAAATCTGCAAAGTTTCAACAAAATCGCGAACTCTTTAATGCGATTTTCTAAAAAGAATTCAGGTATGCTGCTAGCCCATCAAATTTTAATATAATACGTGCAAATTTCAAATGTCTAAAAAATTGCATTGATTTTTTTATATGGAAAAAGAAAATTGCAAAGGACAGTCAGCAAAAAAATTCTCAAAAATCAACGCGAATTTTTGACATTTGAAGCTCGCACATTATTATATTAAAATTAAATGGGCTATAAAACTGCATACCTGAATTCTTTTTAGATATTCTCATTAAAAAGTTCCCGATTTTGCTGAAACTTTACAGATTTATTTTCGTAGTTTCATTGGATTTAAAAGGGGTTTGCTAAAATATAAGCCATATTTTAATACAAAATTAACAAAAAGATTTTAGCAAGTAAAACATTGCGAATATTAGCAAAAAAAAAGTCTTACGTTCAATTTTGTGAGTAACAGTATGTATTTGTCTCTATTAATAAGACTCTTGCTTCGTGACGGCAAGAGTGCATGCGTACCTGTAATTACAAGTGGAAAAAATATTATCAAGATAAAACTTATGTCAAGATATATCGTAACTAAAACTTAATTTATAGAAACAAAAGTCCTGTGGGTTTAAAAAGCGCCAAACACTGCGCGCCATATTTGAATGGAGCTAAAAAAAAACCGCCAAAGTTCCTTAGAGGATATTGACCACGATATAAAAACCTAAGCCCCCCGCCCCTCATTGTGACCAAGCGTAGTATTTTTAAGATCACCCTCCCCCACTGAACGGAAAACGTAGTATGGGTACGTTCCCTTACCACGAAGTAAACAGCATGAACTCCACTGCAACCACACACAGTGATGAACGTTGAAGACCATATAAAGTAAACCACAAAGGTCGTTGAACGCTGCCGTCCAAACACATTTTATATAAATGTATTTGTGTTTTACAAAACACGAATGACGTTACAAAGTAGCCGGCAAACTTATATGTGTAAAGATTGATCACTGATGTTTCAATGTTGCCGCATCTGCGTGCGAACTCCAAGCGAAACCAATCAATTTGGGAATCCAAGAGAGAGTGAGAATGGAGAACGCTGAATCGATAGATATATAGGCGAATATATACGTTTGTTAAATGTACGGGGCGAAACTTTGATTGAGAGCAAATCGAGATACTTTTTGCGATCAATCATTGATCGCGCATGTTTCAATTAGCTTTTACTGAGAGTTTACCATAAACACCCCCCTGGGGCTATATAGTGTATGTACATACATATGTATGTAAATAAGAGGAATTACTTACATATTTATTTACATAGGTACATATGTACATAGAATATATAAAGTAATATTCAAACTGCATCTACCCCTAGAAATAACCTTACTGATTATTATATCTTATTCAACGAATTACCCAAGCTTAATTAATAGTAACTTAAAGTCACAGTAAAATTCAATGGCTTTAAAAAATATTTGATTCGCAGCTCAAGACTCCTAATCCTACAGCAAAATTTAAACGTGGTCCGGCAGTTGCATTTTGTGACTTGTTCAAATTTTTACGGCATTAATGAAATCACCATCGCCGTCACGTGTTCTACAACAAAACTTAAAAATACAGTTGGGGAAGAAATTAGGCAACCTTCGAACAACGTCAGCAGACAAGTCACCTGCCAGCATATGCTTCACGAAAGCCTCACAAAAGAATATTAAAATATATATTATTCCGAGTGTCCATATAAATGTGTCTATGTCCTACACATGTGTGTACATACTTTCATATACTACATAGTGTAGCAGCATAGCTGCACTCCTATACATGTATATATGTAAATATGTAAACGTAGTATATATAGCAACCACAAACCCATATGTATGTAAATAGCACATAATATTCTGTGTATATATTTCCCCCTAGTCAGTAAGCGTCATTCCCAGTTATAGTCTAGAAGTTTCTATTTCCCCTTTTTTATTCGGTAGCGTCCCTTCCAACCTTCCATAGATTGCATCAGCCTTTTAGCTTAAGCACATATTTGTACAGTCAAGAAGATTTATAATAAATTTGGCGATCAAACCTATCGGACGTGTCTATTTTATTTGCGTTTACAGTCTCAGAAGTGGGGTCGAATTCCCTTTCCTGAACGTGTGTGCCGGTAAAATACTGATTTTTTTTTTCTTTAAGATTTCAAGGACATACATATTTTCGCATAAATAAAACTAACTATAAAAACGTTGTGAATAAAAGTTAAGGTCGGTGTTATGCAGAAATTTTGTTTGGCAAACTGCGTGCAATTGTTGTTGCAGCAAACTCGGAGAGAGCGAGTTTGGCGACTCTCACAGCAAACTAATTTTGTTTGGTCAAACTGCATGAACCAAAAAGACAAGATCACGCGGGCAGGAGAGTAGCCCGTTAGAATCGCATTAAGGAAAAAAGTTGAACGATTTTGACATTAGCCGTTTATTTACATTTCTTCGTTGTTTACAATTTGGTGGTGGCTTTTTACTGCAATTTTCTTCATTTTCGCTTGTGACAACGTGTGTACACATAAGATAAAGAATAATTTAACACAACGGCATGATTTTTAGAAGAATTTGCATAATAAAAATGATTTTTCATGCGTTCAACAATTTCGCGGTTTTCTCCGTTCTCTTCGTTGTTTACTTCTTACAGCAAAAATGGCGTCGAGATTTCGGCAGCTAGAAAATAACTTTTTTCGTTCTTTCCGTCACGCGTGATCTTGTGTCTTTCGTTCATGGTCAAACTGCAGCAAATTCGGTGTTGTCATATACAAAAATTTTAAATTTTGCGCGTTATGTACATCTGAAATTTTCATTTCGTGTTGGCAATAGCCATGAAAACCATAATGAACGTGCAACCCTGTGCCAAACTCGACATAACCACCTCCGAGCAAACTAAGCAGCCGCCATTTAATTTGGCAAACAAAAGTTTGTCTGCATAACACCGACCTAAGTGAAGTGGTAGGCTTACGAAAGCGGCACGGCGAAAGACAGCCAAAACCAAAAGAAACAGAAAAAAAATACGAGTAAGCAAAGCCAATCGTGCAAAAGTAATTTGAAAGAAAAACAGTGCGAGCAAAGTGGAAAGTTCGTAAATAAAAAATAGTTCGGCAAACGAGTGGCAAAGACAAAAGAGTGTTAAAACAATACAAATAGGAACGAGATAGACAAAAGAGTGTATAACAGCAGACATATTAACATTCAGTAAATAAGGCAAAATGGAATCAATTTGTGCTAATGAATATACGGCTGTGCAGTTGCGCGCTTGGCTTCAGCAGTTAAATTTGCCAACAAGCGGCGCAAAAAATGCGTTGGTCATTCGGTTAAACGAAGTTCCAGTAGCCGAGCGTGGCCGGTGTCCGTTGGAAGCTGATGAAAGTTTTGAAATCGTGGCGTCGGGAAAAAATGCAGAAGTCACCCCTACTTTACAAGGAAAAAACAATAACAACAATGAATGCGATGGCAGCGCATGTGGCGGCGACGGTGATGTTGACAATGACGACTGTGATGAAAACACAATACAGCAAATACAACGAATGAAGCAAGAATTGGCAGTGCGAGAAAAGCAGGTGTTGGAGAAGGAGATACAAATTCTGCGACGTCTTGCAGAACTTAACGTGAATACAGTGAGCGTCAACGAAACAGCACCACTTCGTTCAGGGCAAGTTCCCATTGATATAATTTTGAATATAGTGCCTGAATATGATGGGCAATCAAGTGTTGACATCTGGTTAACTCAATTCAAAAGTGTATGCGATGCGTATGCAGTTGACGTCACAATTCAACGTGTCTTGCTACTTAACAAACTAAAGGGAAAGGCATTACAGTGGATACACTCTAAACCACACTTTGCGACGGAAGAGTTGGAATGTTTACTTGCGGAAATGAAAGAAGTGTTTGGTGCAAAGGAAAGCAAATTGCTGCTGCGTCATAAATTCGAGGCAAGGATGTGGAGAGCCGGTGAAGGCTTCGCGCAATATTACAATGAAAAGATATTGCTGTCAAATTCATTGCACTACGAAGATGATGAGTTACTAGGATACTTAATTGAGGGAATAACCGATGAGCAGCTACGCAACCAAGCTTATTTGCAGTGTTACGCCTCAAAGTCTCAGCTACTACAAGCATTCTCCAAAATAAGTTTGAAGCAGAATGCATCGAGAGTGGCGTCGAGGGGAACTGCAGCAGCTACAGCAACACAGATGAGTTACACGAAACGGTGTTATAACTGCAATTGTGTTGGTCACTTCGCCCCCGAGTGTAAGAAGCCAAAGAGGGAGAAAGGGGCATGCTATGCCTGTGGCAGCATGGAACATCGAGTTGCAGTGTGCCCAGATCGCAAAAACCGAGTCCAGCTGGTAGATGATAGCGAATACGTAAGATCTTTTATGTTTGTTATTAAGAACCAAGGTTATATATATTTTTCCTTAGAATGTCTCATAGATTCTGGAAGCCCAATCAGCTTTATCCGAAGATCAGCAGTATGCAATCAGTTAGATTTAAAGTTACTGAAAAATGAAAATGAATTATATTTTGGTCTAAATAAGTCAAAAGTGCAAACCTATGGAAAATTTTTGTGTTCGATTATAATAAACGATAAACATTTTGATATTAACTTTATTGTTGTTGCTGATGGGACAATGACCTATGAGGCTGTTCTAGGAAGAGATTTACTTAGAGAATGTAAGTACAGATTAGTAAGAGAGGAAGAAGAACAGAAGTGCGTTTCCAATAAAACCGCTTTGGATGGAAGAAATACTTACATTGCATCAGGAATTGATAGAAGACTTATAAAATGTCTAAGCGATGTAAGTTCTGAGAATTCAAATATTGAATATTGTAAAGATATGACTGAAAATAATTATGAAGTAGTAGGAGTAAAGTTTAAGGCAAATGAGTGTGAAGCGAACAAATACGAAGAAAGTACAAATGAATGTAAAAAGAATGCTACAAAGGTTAGAAATATGTCAGATGAGTGTAATTCAAATGAGCGTAAATTAGAAAGTAGAAATGAATGTAAAATAGATAAAAATATCGAAAAACTGAGTGAGGGTTGGAAAAATAAGTATGAAAAAGCACTTACTAATATAATTAACGCTACAAATGAATGCGTACAAAACAGCCAACAGTCAGGCGAAAAAGTAAATGGCTCGCAAATTGAAAACAAAGTTGATAAAGAATCACTCGAAAATGTTAATTTATTAAATGAACTACTGATGTTAGAGCCAAATGATGAAGGCGAAAAATTGTCGATAAAGATTGGTCAAAATTTAGACCATTTTTATAAGCAAAAATTTAATAAACTATTTGACAAATATTATTTGGAATCAAAGCGCCCCATTGAACCAAAGGTTAAGTGCGAAATGAAGTTGACTTTAGATAATGTGAAACCGTTCAACTGCCCACCGCGACGATTGTCATACGCTGAGAAAATCGAATTACAAAAGTTGTTAGACGAATATTTAGAAAAAAAGTATATACAACCGAGTGAGTCTGAATTCGTATCACCAATTGTATTGGTGCGAAAGAAGACAGGTGACATAAGAATGTGTGTTGACTATCGAACGCTTAATAAGGTTACAGTGAAGGATAATTATCCGATCCCGTTGATTGACGATTTAATAGATAGGTTAGCCAAAAAGAAATTTTTTACCAAATTGGACTTGAAAAATGGTTTCTTTCACGTTTTCATGCATTCAAATGCAGTAAAGTTTACATCGTTCATCACACCTTTAGGTCAGTTTGAATTTTTACGCATGCCGTTTGGCCTCAAAAATGCTCCGTCAACGCTTCAGCGTTTTGTTAACAAGATTTTCACAGACATGGTCATAGATAACAGGGTGATAATATATCTAGACGACATAATGATAGCTACCGAAGAGTTAGACAAACATTTAAAGATTTTACAAGAAGTTTTCCGAAGATTAGTAGATAAT